GGCTCCAACAGCAGCGGCGATGCCTTGGTGACCCGCATTTCCAGCCTGCTCCGCGACCTGCCCACCCTGAAGGCGGCGGTGATCGTGGCGTGCGCCTTCACTGCCCTGCTCATCGCCTGCCTGCTGCTGCGCGTCTTCAGGTGGGTCTCGCCGCCCAGGAGGGAGCGGGCGGTCTCGCCAACCTGCTGTCACCGTGCGCCGGCCCCACCTGTGCACACAGGTGCTCTGCGTGTGCTGCTCGGCCCAGGCCTCGGCGTCAGGGCGCTGGGCCAGCTGTGTGTCCACCTGCCCTGTCGGGGAGAGTGGGTGGGAGGCCAGGCTGCGCTGTTTTTTTCTGGTACACATTTTAGGAGTTTTCTCCCCTTTCTTTAACGATATATGTTATAAATATTGGGATACCCTTATTAATTCTCTGCTCATGCTTGACACAATAGCGTTCTGAATTCTGACAACCTGCCACGGAATTCATTTTTATACCCACTTCTCAGCTGCAGAAAACATTTCCAAAGAGCCAGGAGGCTTATCCAAGTAAACAGTGTTAAAGGGAGGATTTGGGGACCAGCAGTTAGTGTAATGGCTATGTCGCTGGATTCCCACGTAGTCCACCGCCCGCGGTTCCAGTCTCGGACCGGGTGGCTTAAACTCATGCCGGGCGCGAGTGCATTCGTGACCAAGATCCCGAGAGGAGAATGAAGGAGAAGGGATTGCGGCGTGGCCATCCCCCCTGGGGGGTGATTTCTCGCTTTCTGTCTCTCTGTCTCTCTCTGGCAAGCGCACTCACCCTACAGCAAAAACCTCTCCAAAAAAAGAACAAAAAAAAAAGGAGTTGGGCTTCAGGATGCCTGACCTAGCTGACTCTCCATTAGTGAGAGACTCAGATGGCTCTCCTTGGCCCCTGGCTCTGCTTAGCCCCTACTGGAGCTGCCCCAGTTCACAGGGGGGTGAAGGATCTTGGAGAGGCTTTTGTAGGTTCCTCAAATTCAGGGAGAAAGGAGAAAATTAGATAACCCAGGTCCCTGGAGTTGGGAGGTGGGCAGTGTTACAGAGGGGCCTAGGAGGACATTTCCCCCTATGCTTGGGAAATCCTGTTTTTGCAGGAAAGGAACTGAGTGTGTCCTGTTACTTAGGCTGGCCAGCTTGGAAGTCTGCCGTGGCTGTCAGTAACTTCCTGCCCACTCCTTCCACTTCCAAGTGTAGGTTCTCTGCTTGGGTATTTGATCAGCTGGGGAAGGTTAGGGCCAGGGACTTGTCCTCCTGGGCAGCGCTCTTCATGCAGGAGCAGAAAGCAGATGTAGGCAAGACAGCCAGGGCTGGGAGCTGTCTGTGGAGGTTTGCTCTTGGTTCTGTGTGGCTTCGAGTCCAGCAGTTTCCTTCTGGGTCCATAGTATTAAGTGCCCATGGTCTGAGACAACAGAGGAGGAACTTGTGGTTCTGTATTCACCCCACCTGGTCCCTTGCCTTGGCTTGGGCCATGTCATTGCCCACCCTGCTGGTCTCCTTGTTGTTCTCTGGTGTTGAAGCACACTCCTCTTCACCCTGTGCTTCCTGCTGCCTTTGCTCCTCAGCTTAGCACCTTCAGTGGCTCCTAGTGACTGCTACCTGGATGCGGCACTGCCTAGGTGTGACATTTGGGGACCTTACAAACCAGTGCCAGCATACCATGCTGCCAGCAAGTGGCCTCTCTGAGCCTCCTCTCTTGTCCCTTGCTTCTTTCTTCCCTTGTGCTTTCTGGCTCAATTCCTGCCCCACATCTTCCAAAACTCTGCGTGCCAGTCCAGCTTCCACGCCCCTCCCTCTGTGTGGGTTTCCTGGGCATCCAAATGAGGCTGTTACTTTCTTTCCTGACCTTTTCTTTTGCCATTTGCTCTCTTGTGTCACCTCCTCTGAGAAGCCTCTCCAGCCAGGGTCTCTGTATGTTCCAAAAGCACACTTGAGGTTTGAATTTCCTACCCAAAGTGAAAAGTTTGTGCATCCTTCATGTAGCCCTTCCGTATGTGCTCCATACCCAGCTTGCGCGCTCAGCAGAGAGCCCCCGAGGGCGGGCACGTCTGGCTCATCCTGCTTCTCCATGCTCCATGCAGGCCTGGCATTCAGCAGAGGCTCGGTCGACATTTCCTGACATCCTGACTGTTCAGCTGGAATAAATGTTAATGCCCAGAGCAGCTCTGAGCCTGGAGGTTTGAACCATTTAGCTCAAAATAGGCCACCGAGCCCACGAAGCTGTGTCCTTTTAAAGAAGGTATTTCAACTATTTTGCCAGTCTGCTTTTTATTACCCAGGAGTGGGGGAGAAGAAGAGGCAGCATGGGGCCAGATGTGAGGAGACCAAGCCTCGGTTTGAGTGGGACAGCTGGCACTCAGGCCCGTGAGGAAGGACCCTTGTTGGCCTGGGTGTGGGGCGTCAGAAGGAAGTGACAACTGCATAGAAGCCATTTATGGACACCATCTGCCTCGTCAGGAAAGCATTCTCATCGGGGCATGTTCCCAGGTGGACACCTGTCGCCCCAGATCCTGATAGGCAGGAACGTGTAGTGGTTTTCAGTCACTAAGGGCCTTGAGGTACTCAGTCCACATGGGTGCCCTTGCACATAAGAAAGAGGCATCCCAGACAGTGGATAAGTCATCCCTAGGTTCTAGAACATTCTATAAGTCCATGTGGCCAAGGCAGGGCCTGCATCCTGTCTCTGCTACTTGGTGGTCTGCCCTGTAGCTGGCTCCCCTTTCTGCACCCCTTTGTAGACTTGGTGCCTCAGGCCCACTAATACCTTCTATACCCGCTGGACTGCCTACAGTCACTGAGTCCAGGCCATTCTACCCACCGGGTCTCACGAGACTATCCCTCTGGCCCCACCAGCCTCCCCCAGTGACGCCCCACTGGCCTTCAGTCTTCTGCCTGGCTTGACTCTCCCTGTCTGAGCCACAGAAACAGCCTTGCCTTCCTCTAGCCCAGAAGATGGGTCTGACCCTTCCCCTACCCACCGAACTCCCTCAGACCCCTATTCCTTCCATGTGCAAATCCCAGCTGAGGGCAAGGCCGGTTTTTTACAACCAGGGCTTTAACCTGTGTGTCTCTTGTTTTTTCAAAAAAAATTTGCAATAGGTCATATGTTTTCTCTGGAGAGACACAGAAACAGGGAAAGTGAGAAGTTACCCTGCAGTGGGGATGGCCATGCTTCAGTCCCTTCCCCTCCATTTTCTCAGGGCTTTGGGCACACATGCATACATGCCTGGTGTGTTTTTCTTTCTTTCTTTACAAGAATTATTTTATTTAACTTTATGTATTTATTTAATTTGACCAGAGAGGGACAGGGTGAGAAAGAGAGACAGAGAGAAAGGGAAAGTGAGAAAGCAAGCTGCCAGACCCGGGGCTTGAACCACAGTTGGCCATGTGGGAGTCCAGTGCCCTTAACCACCATGCCACCTGCCAGCCCCTGGTGTGTTTTTCAAACTCATGGACCTGGGACTTGAACTGCAGAGTCAGTCATGTAAGAGCCAATGTCTTTTTTTTTTTTTTTTTTTTGTGGGCCGGGGGCG